TCTGTGTGGTCCACGGACCTGAAAGCCAGCAGTCCCCAATTCTCCAGCAGTGCCCCCACCAGGCGCCATTTTGTGTAGTGGGGCCGAGAGTGTGGATATCAAGGGACGACCTGGAGTGGGCTTGTTTCTAGATAACTGCACTGAGCTGAGCTCACAGGTAAAACAGCACCAGCCTCGCATCCTGCAGGGTCTGTGTGGTCCCTGTATCTGATGGTCAACGTCCCTGGATCTATGCCAGTGTCCCACCAGGCACTAGCTGTATTATGTGCGTCTCATTGTTGGTCGGAAGTTTTATAATGAGTTTTCTGAATTCTGTGTCTCCCGTTTTCTCAACGTCTTCTTCAGTTAACTCTGAGTTTAGTAGAGGCTTTTGTTCCTTTGCTGGAGTCTTCAGTAACATTCATTGTGCCTCTGTCTCTACTTTTATCTTTGGTCATTGCAATTCCGGTGGGCGGATTCTTCTTAGAGCAGGTTTCTAGGATGTATTACCTACACGTCCACAAGTCGATTTTTATGTTCAATCAGTGAGCCATTAAGTCACCATCTTGCACAAGGGCAAGGGCTCCGAGGTCAGGAGGGGCAGTGGTAGACTTAGCATGCACTAAGTCTACAGAGCTCAGACGCCATTTTCACAGTCAGCATGTGTCAACAAGATCAGTGCTGCCAACAAATCAGTTATGCCAACTGTCCAAAACTGGATGAGGAAGCAGTTAATGTATAACAGACCTGTCTGATGGAACCTGTCAGATGCTACATTGCTGCAGTTCACCGAGTCAGAAATGAGATCACTCCTAGCTCAGTACACGTGTAGTCCTGCCCCATAGCCCTTGCCTCCTTAAACAATATGGTGCCCAATTTGGCCGACTGGGCTGTGAAATCCATTTCACAACGCCCATCTGGGATCTGCTGCTCTGTCTCTGCTCCTGGTCAAATCAAATAGGCCAGCAAGATGGGCAGTTCTTTGTCTGGGTTCACCTCCGGATCTCCCAGGTAACGTCCCTTCCCACCTGGTTGTTGGTGGAGCTCTGGCTGCCGATGGAATTCAGTTCGCCATTTGCTGAATGCTGCTGGAGTATCAGTCACCGCAACACCACACCGTTGTGCCCGCTGCTTTCCTGTATCTGTCAGTCTCCAGGTGCCCCTCTGCTGTTGTTCTGTCCTCTCTTATTTCCTGGAATGTGCCCTCTCTGCTTCACACTGGCTAATATTTTTCCGTGTTTAAATGTATCCTTACCCTATTTTTGGCTGTCACCGTTTGTTTGTGGTTGTTGTCCAGTTTGTTCCGTTCTGCCAGAGCCCCAAATGTGCTGCCATATTCTCCCTTTACAATAGGGCCAGTGTCCACCGCTCCATCTTTTTCATTAAGCGGGACATGTTCTTGCAGGTGAGTCTAACTACCCAGGCCAGGCGTCCCAAGCATCACCAGATCCCCTCCCCTGGGGCTCACAAACCCAGCACCCACCTAGTAGGCGGGCCCCAGGATCTGGGCCATCGACCCACACCCCACCATTTTCCCCTGTCCCTAGGGTTCAGGAACCCATCCCACACCACACATGTGGGCCCCATGGCCTGAGTTCAAACTACCCGAGCTCTGTCAGATCCCCTGTCCCTGGGATTCACGTACCTAGCCCCCACTGAGCACAGGCTGGCATGACTCGACTCACCTCAGTGTCTGCAATCTTTTTTTAAAATTTTTTTTATTACAAAATCAGATATACAGAGAGGAGGAGAGATAGAGAGGAAGATCTTCCATCCAATGATTCACTCCCCAAGTGACCCCAATGGCCGGAACTTGATCTGATTCGAAGCTAGGAGCCAGGAACTTCCTCCAGGTCTCCCACATGGGTGCAGGGTCCCAAGGCTTTAGGCCATCCTCGACTGCTTTCCCAGGCCATAAGCAGGGAGCTGGCTGGAAAGTGGGGCTGCCAGGATTAGAACTGGTGCTCATATGGGATCCTGGGTGTTCAAGGCAAGGACTTTAGCTACTAGGCCATGCTGCTGGACCCAGTGTCTGCAATCTTATTCAGCAGCCTGACCTAGTCTAGTCTGCCCCTTGTTTCCAGCTCCTGCTGGTGGGTGCTGCAGACTATCCCAGCCCAGCCTGATTGTTATCCTGGTGAACTGGCTGGTGTTGTGGCTTGATCTAGCTCCTTCTGCCCCCTACCCTCGTTCTTGGATCTGCCAGTGGGTATTATGTGCTGTCCTAGACTGATCTGTCCCCAGACCTGACCCATATGTATGCTGACAAGTACCCGTATGCAGGTGGATACCTGGCATGGTCTAGACTGTTCCTTTTTCTTCTTACGCTCACCTGCAGGGGATGCATTCCAATGAAGGAGTTTCCCAAGTTCCTCTATCGAGTCTCCTCCCAGTGGCAGTTCTCATGTACGCCAGTGGGTCATTGGCCCAGGTTAACTTTGTCCATCTCCTGTCCTGACAGGAATAGTGGCCTTGTTCAACCGGCCACACCCACTCTGGTTCTTCTTGACGGATGTTGCAGCCCAGCACTACCTGGTCCCAGGCCCAGCTTTCACATAATTCAGCTGGAGTCAAGACCTAGCCTGGCCTGTTCTACATGCAACCTGGTTCTCATGAGTACAGGTACAGGGGCTTGAGTCCAGCTTGATCTGTCACTCCACAGTCCCACTGCATGCCTGGATCGGTGAGTCTGTAGCCATTGACAGACATGCCTGCTTCCCTCAATCTTATTCTTATTCTCACCAGTGGGAAGTTCAACCCATCTGAGGTGCCCCTTAGCTCCCCAGCAAAGCCTGTTCCCACCTGCCATTCTTAGGCAAGCCAGCAGAGCTTATAGTTCCACAGGAGTGAGTCCACATTGCCCCCACAGATTCTACTATCAGACGCACCACTCTTGTTTTCCCCTCTAAACCAATTTTCTCTCAGTCCCCAACTTACATAACACGTCATGGACTTATCCACAGGTAGGGCCCAGCGTAGTGACTTAGTGGCTAAAGTTCTTGCCTTGAACGCACTTGGATCCCATATGGGTGCCAGTTCTAATCCTGGCAACCCTGCTTCCTTCCCATCCAGCTCCCTGCTTGTGGCCTGGAATGGCAGTCGAGGACAGCCCAAAGCCTTGGGATCTTGCACCCATGTGGGAGACCTGGCAGAGCTCCTGGCTCCTAGCTTTGGATTGACGCAGCTCTGGCTGTTGCTGTTCACTTGGGGAGTGAGTCAGCGGATGGAGGATCTTGTTCTTTGCCTCCTCCCCTCTCTCTGTATATATCTGATTTTGCAATAAAAATAAGTAACTCTTAAAAAAATTCCCACAGGTCATCTCTAACTACTACCTGTGTGATCCTATTACCCCTCTGTAAATCAAGACCTCTAACCATGAGGGCGTGCTGCCCAGCGGCCCAAGGGGCTTCGCCCAGCACCTTTGGTGCCTGGGCCCTTCTGGGGGGGATCCATGCCGCCAGGCTACAGGTACCTGTGTGGGTAAAAAAAAAAAAAACCCCTCCTAACCTCCACAATGGGGTGGTCCTGGAGGCCTGTTGAACTTCCCTCCCCCCAGGAGTCAGTGTGTTCAGCGAATAGACATTTTTTAAAAGAAGAAATTCAAATGGCTAACAGACATGAAAAGACGCTCAGGTACCCTAGTTGTCAGGGAGGTACAAATGTAAACCACGCTGAGATATCACCTAAGTCCAGTGAGACTGGCCTACATTCAGAACTCTACTAACAACACCTGCTGGCGAGGATGTGGGGAGAAAGGCACCCTCCTTCACTGCTGGTGGGAGTGCAGGCTAGTACAACCAATGTGGAAATCAGGATGGAGAGTGCTTGGAGAATTGCAAATAAACCTGCCATATGACCCAGCTATCCTGCTCCTAGGAATATACCCAGTAGAAATGAAATCTGCATGTGAGAAGGGGGTCTGTAATCCTATATTTGCAGCAGCACAATCTACAATAGCACAGACATGGAAACAACCCAGATGCCCGTCCAAAGAGGAGTGGTTGAAGAAACTGTGGTACATCTACTCCATGGAATATTACTCAGCCATTAAAAAGAATGAAGTCATACCATTTGCAACTAGACGGTCCCGACTAGAGACCAGTATGCTCAGTGCAATAAGTCAATCCCCAAAGGACAAATACCATATATTCTCTAATATAAGAGAATTATCATGCAAATTAGGCTTTTGTGTTTTCTTTCTGCATTGGTTATTCAGTGGTACGTTTTTTTTGACTCTATGATGCTGTATTTTTTTTTTTCTTCTTGTTTTTACTTCATATCTGTTGTTGACCTTATTTCATGGCTTCTCATTGATGGGAATATATAGTGATGCAGTAACATAGATTACCACATCCAGATGTGAAGAGACAATGTAATATTTGTCCTTACTTCCAAAGCAAAAATGGACTCCCAATGAAACTGTTGCACATATCTGGACAATGGGATGCTGGGCTGTCTAACACTGTGTCAGCACTGTCAGGGCACACTTAAATAACAGACTGATGCACTTATGACTCCTTATGAAGAACTATACTACTGCAACAATATGGGGAAAATCAGTCGGGGGATGGGAATCCCAGACCCTACGTAATTGTGCCATAAAATTGAAACAACTACTATACTGAAAAAAATTCCATAAACCATTATTAGAGGTATAGGGTACTTCAAATAGTTCATGGAATTAAAAGTTTATTTTGGGGAAAATTTTATGAGAGTATTTCCATCAAATTTTTGAAATACCTTTGGATACCAGAGAATCTTACTAATTTTTATACCAGCTTATATGATGAACACCTTCGGATAATTTCTATTATATTAATCCTGTTATACTTGTCCTTGGAATATCCTTCTGATATTTGAGATTTTCCGTAAAAAAAAATCTACTGCAACAAACAAACAAACAAACAAAAATGTGCTGTTTTTACAGAATAAATTTATTGGAATGTGAAAAAAAAATAAGTTAATTGACAAAAAAGTTCCGAAGTGGCTGAGCGTCTTGCTGGGTCGTCAGCTTCATTTCAATGTGCAAACACAGGAAAAACGCCAAGGAAAAAGGTGACCTCCTGCCCCGACGGGAAGCACTAAGCAGGGACGATGCCTGCCTGTCACCTAGGGGCTTGAAATGTATGGCCTCAACCCGCTTCCCCAAAGTCAGTACTTTCCAGTGTCAAAAACGGTTGTGAACTAAAAAGCAAAATGCAGCAATCCACAGGTCTCAGGCCATAGCCAAGAGAAGCCTGGGGCGTTTGGCCACTTGGGGTCCAGTGTGTGGTGTGAGGACTGGGACAGACCCATCCCGCACCTCCTAACTTGCATAACGGACTCTGGGGCCTGCCTGCTCCTCTGCTTGCACTGCAGGGCTGGGGTGGCCGTCGCTCCTCTCTCATGTCTCCATTCGCTTGGTTCTTTATTTCATTTCTTTGGTGGTGCTACCAGGAGCATGAGGAAGACAGCTGCACTTGGTGGGGGGCTGTGGTTTCACAAGGAAGCAGCATTTTTCTCTTACCGTGTGGGCCTGCGGAACAGCAGGCGCCGGCGGTGCGCCCTCAGGGACTGCATGGCTTCCCCTATTCCTGCTTCAAACGCAAAGGCTCCTCTCTCTCTCTCTTCTCCATTGGGGAGCCTGGATGAGCATCTTCCGAGGAGGCAGAGCAGCCTCAGATAAACACTGTTGCTTGTAGTCTCCCCACAGCACATGGAACCCGACCCCACTTTCAGGAGGCACGCGGCGAGAGTACAGATGCCCATGAAGTGCCAGGCCTTCCCAGATCTGGGATCTGGGGGGTTGGGAGAATGCATCCCAGGCAGGCAGATGCAGCCGACAGACCAAGGCGTGAGCTCCCGGGGCTCAGGACCAGTTCAGGCTGAAGCCCTTGGACAGCATGGCAGCCTCCAGGTCCTTGTCCTCTTCCTTCTCCCGGAGTCTCTGCTCCTCCAGCAGGGCTACCAAAGAGTCCCTCTGTTCCACCACCTCTAGCATCTCATTCAGGATCTTCTTCTCCTCTGCTAACTCCCCCTCGGTCTTCAGGTGATCTGGGAGTGGGCCAGAGGACAGCTGGCATGAAGGGGCATGAGGCACTAGCCCATCCCATCCCTCCTGCAGGTGCCTCTCCTGGCTCCACTTACCTTCCACTGCCATTCGCTCCCGCAGCTCCTGCTGTAGGCGGCTCTGTCGGTCTTCCAGCTCTAGCTCCCGGGCACTAGGGGGAGAGAAGGAGAGGGACAGACAAGAAGGAACAGATGATTTGGGGGCAAATGAAAATAGCCGTGTGCTAGGCAGGGGGCTGGCTGGAACCCCTGACTCAGGGCCACTTACAAAATCATCAGCTCCGACTCGTAGCGCACCATGGCGTTTTTCTCTTGCACCAACTTGAACCACTCTTGCATAAGTTTGGGGTCATCCTTCTTGCCCATGCCTGCCAAGAGAGCGCGTGTGTCAGGCTGTGGGGAGCATCTGCCGTCCACCCCAGCCCATGAATCATCACACTGAGGCAAATGTGCAAAGAGAGCCGAGCAAGATGCTGCCGGAACACTCCCAAGCCAGGCCCAAAGTTTGCCTACATCCGGGAGGGCGCAGAGAATGAAGGACTCTGCTCACACCCACCTCCTGGCCTAACGGGGTCTAGGCTTTCCCTCTGTCTTCCTTAGCCCCACCAATGACTAATTCCTTCTTCACCTCTCCTGCTCAGTGGTTTTCTTTCGTTCTTAAACTGGTCTGTCCCTGTCCCCCATTTTTTGTCTTCGTTCAGTTAACTGTATTCAGCACCTGTCCCTTAGAGGAAGTCAGTGAACAAGCAGGGCCAAACATCACCCTAGCAACTGTATTTGGCCCTCCTCCTGAGTTACACTCACTTGGGCTAGTTCTTCCCTTGGCCTATCAAGGTTGATGCCCCAACATTTCATCTTAACTTGCAGCCTACCAAGCTTCCAATGAAGGGTGCCTGGTGTGTGTAGGACACCCACGGACGATTTTCAGGTGTCTCACCAAGAGGCTGAGAAAGGTGGCTACGTCCTGCTCTGATTGAAACCCAATAGCAGTTTTTGGTGGCTGCTGCCCCAAACGAACCCCCCCACCCCGCCTGGTATCTCAGTTTCCATCGGGCGTGGCCTCCCCCACTAGGGCTTAACCAAAGTGGGAGGATGGAGAAGGAGCTTCCGATGAATCAAACTACCCGAAGTGGTACCAGGCTCCTTTTCGTGAGAGCAGAAGGCAGAAGCGTGGTCCTATCTAAGAGACAGATGGTGTTGGTAACTTTGCCAATAGTTTCTGACGACAAACTGTTAACGATTAATCCCATGCAGGTCCTCTTCCTATGGCAATGCTGATGTGCACACATCCAAAAATTTAGCACGAAACTTCAGGGGGTTCCTGGGTTTCCTGAAATCCATCCCTGGACCTCAGGTGAAGAGGTGGTGAACTGTGGACCCTTGCCAAGTTCCCTCCGTTGTGAGTCCCTTGGCTGGCCGAGCCTGGCTGAGACAAAACCAAGCCTCTTGAGCATCAAGCTCTCACACTGTTGCGTGCACTCTCCCCCTTGAGGAGCACCTCCTAACATGTGACTCAGAAACACATCTCTTCCTGCGGTGGTGTATGCTTGCCACACACAGGGTTGAAGCCGGTTAGTGTTTACCTAGTGGCCTTACTCTGGACAGGCAGAGATGGACCGTGCTCACACAAGCATGGCATTAGCAGCAGCACTGTGGCCCAAATGCACATGCAACTACGCTCCCAAGGTGCTATCCTGTCCCTGAGCCCTTCCCTGAAGGCCTGTCCAGCGTGCTAGGGTGGACGGCTGCCTGTGTGTCTGGGCACCCAAGGTCTCCTCACCCCCTCCAATAGACTTGGGTCTTTTGAAGCGGCCTGTAGCTTAGTTCCATGCATTCCTTCCGGAGCGTCTCTGCACAGTGTGCCCATGTGGCCATGAGGATGGAGTCCCGAGGCATGCAAGCTGTCTCGCGTGGCAGTTACAAGCACACCAGGAAGTCCTCCTTCCCACCTCCCCGTGTGTGAAGACACAAGAGTTCCACTGGGAGACACCTGAACACCATTCATGAGCTATGGGGGGGTGACGCTCATTTACAGCCAGTGAGCAAGGGAACATGGTGGGGGTGGGTGAGAGTCAAACGTGAGAGCCATGGAGAGCAGAGTCAGAGGTTAGCAAGGGTTAGTCATGGACACACTCCCCGTCCCCTGCCCACATGCCTTTTCAATGACAAGTCTCATTACCACGACAGACTTCAAATCAGACAAACTTAAAACAACAAAAAACAAAACACACTCAGCAAGACACAAGGTGGAGAAGTTTGTTTTTAGTGGTTTTTCTAGAAAAGAACTTGGGGCTATTTGTCTTCGTAAGGACAGTATTCCTTGACACCGCCAACACAAATAGTGCCACCAACAGGTGGGAGGGTCCTCACCTGCATGCCTGGCCCCTCTTATGGACACTGGGGCAATGCTACCGAAAGCGTGGCTGCAGCTGGGAGAGGCCCAGACTTGGAGCTCCCCGGTGTGACTCTGAACCCCAATCCTCCCTCAGACAGTCGAAGGGATACTGTACTTGGTAAGAAACTGCCGCATATGCATGACATTTTGTAACAGGGCTACTGCGCGTCAGAGAGAGAGAGAGAAGGTTTGGCTTGCTCCCTGTTGGACTAACGCTGCTACGACCCCTCCGAGGCAGTGGGCATGAGGTGGCGAGATTACATTACCTTCCTGGACACAGCAAGGGCAGAAGGAGAGAGGTCTACGCCGTGGAGTCCCGCCACTGGGCTCAACTTCAAAAAGGACCAAACAAGGAAGAGGAGGAGGCAGCAGCAATGGAGGAAGAGGAAGAGGAGGGGCATAAGGAAAAGTGAAACAAACAGAAAAAAAAAAAACCCAAAAAAGTAGAGGACAAAGGCCAAAAAAAAAAAAAAAAAAAAAAAAGAATGGAACAGGAGGAAAAGAAAAAAAAGATACAAGAAATGGAGAAGCAGAAACAAGGGGAAACAAAGTCTACAAATGAATTAAGTCCTTTTTCTTTTTTTTTTTTTTTCCCCCAGCATGAAACTGAACCAGAGCAGAATGGGGCACGGGGCAGCATGTCCTGCTGTGGGCACCTGCCCGAGGCTAGCAGAGGAAGGTGGGTTCTGCCAGAGGGCGCCACACACGTTTCTTTCATGATGGCCAAGGGGCTTCTCCTTCCTCCTCTATTTGTTTCTTGAGGGGTGGTGACACTGGAATTCTGCCACACAGTGAGTGGACTTCAAGGCCTTGGGCTCCCTCCTCAAAAACACCCGGAGCCCCTGGAGAGTCTGCCTACCTGGGGAAGACTACTGAATGTGCGGCCAACATTGCTTTTAGGTCTACAGGTCATAAGTGGGGGTGCCCGATCCAGCATATGTAAAAGAGTCTAGGGTGCCAACACAGAGACGTGTGTCGGACAGACTGGGGCAGGGAAGGGCTGCTGCCATCAGACTGCCACTCCTAGAGAATGGAGCTCTGAGCATACAGGGGCAGGACCTCAATCTTGGGATGGGCACTCAGGGATCTGATATTGAACATTGCTTTGGATTCTGGGCCAGGACAATCTGCAGGAAATGTACAAACACCAATGTGACTTTTGCCAATCCGTGTCCTTGTTGCCTGTCATGTCCCAGGACAGCTAAGCATCTACCTACGTTCTACTTCTGTGGGGGCCGGGGATCCAATGGAGGAGGGTTGTCAACCTTGGGACTCTCAACCTGATAGGACATGCCCCAAACAGTAATACGGATGGTCTGGGGGGGGGGCGGGTGGGCCACTGAGGACAGTCCACGTGAGGGAGACACCTTAGGACCTGTTGGCGACTCAAGGGAGAGGGGAAGGAGGATCTGAGCAAGGGACCATCACAGAACCATAGGCGCACACACAGGAGACAACAGAGCTCAAGGAAGGACAGAGCCTCCTGGACCGCAGGGATAAGGGCTGAGCAGGTGGATCGGGATGAGAACAGGGTTTGAATAAACAACAGAAAGGCCAAACAGACAGCTGGTTGAGAGGCCGTTCTATTTTGCCACTGCATACATATGCCGGCATCGTGCTGTAAGGGGTCCGCGGTGCTTCGCATAGTGCTTTGTGCGTCATGAATGCGGTTTCGGGAAGAACTTCCAAACTAGCGCCAAAGACAGTGTGTGAAAAGCTGCTTATACCTAGTGTCCTAAAGACACATGATCACGGGCAGCCGATGCATTTGCACGTTGGAGAGAGGTTTCTCCCTTAAGCAATGTGCTTTAACACAGCTCTCCATCGCAGCAACTTGGTTTCAAAGTGTCCAGACTGTGTTGGGGCTCACCATCCTTGGACGAATTCCTTACAAATTCAGCAGACGATCTCTGACCCTTCCTGGGACTAACGGTACACTTCAGCACACAGCAGGACGGTGTCCACACTCAGCAGCAAGGGACAGTGACACAGCAGACGACCAATCAATGTCTGGACCAAAGCAGGTGCCTGCGTGCGTGTTAACAAATGGCTATCTGCTTTCTGGACACCACGAGATACAACCTCAGCTCCTTTTCTGCAGGCTAGATTCCCAGGTGCTCTTTCTGACACAGATAGTTCGAGATAACAGACTGTTCAGAGAAGAAATTATGAAATGGAATCAGAAAAAGAGGGAATCAAGTAAAGCACGTGCTTAAAAGACAGAAGGCAGCAGGCAAAGGCTCTCCCGAGGCGAGCTGCGGTTGACGCTCTGTGAGTTCTTTCTGCTGCAGAGCGTCCTGTGTGCTTGGGTGCATGAATGCAACTTTGCTAAGCAGGAAACAACACCCGGTCAACATTATATTTTAAAGATGAGATGGAAGGGAAAAACCGGTCAAACAAGGGGAGTTCCAGCCAACTAGAATCTGAAATGAGCGTGCACGGGGGTGGGGAGGGGTGAGGGGCAAAGGCGCTGATCGTAACAGAAATTTCTTTGCCTTTTATAGACATGTGAGAAATAGATGATTTGGTTCGCTGGCTCCAAAAGCAAAGATGTTGTGAAGCCTATGGAAAGTCACTTCTGGTTTTCTTTCTTTCTTTCTTTCTTTTTCTTCTTTTGTGAGGGTAATTGGTTTCCATCTCTTCAAACCAGGTATGCCTTTTCTGCATGCAGGGCCTCACCTCTGAGCTTCCCCAGAATTTGTTCCTGCTTGGAAGTTTTTTAGTAGCAGGTCTGGAGGGCCCCTGGTGTATTCTGTACCTCTGAAGCCATTTCTTTTGACACGGGACCTTACCCCGTACCCTTTTGGTGGCTTGTTAGCACCCTCCTGCCCTGAGTAGAGGCAGGGGACATAGGCCACTAAAGTTTGAAAAGCAGCAGGATGGCATCCCGGAGAGAGGCATGTCTCATTTTTCCAGTGTGGTGCATGGAACAAGGATGGACAAGGCCTTCCAGGTTCAGTGTGTTCCGGCCTC